CCCGGGCCCCCGCCTGATGAGAAGAGCAGCTGATATTCCCTATTGGAAATCCAACTCACGAAAGACGGGAGCCTGCACCAGCCAACCCCCTCCCCCACACCATCTCCCGCTTTCCCTGCTAAATCCGTTCCTCCTCAGCCTGAAAAAATCACTTCAGGGGCAGCGCTTCCCCGTCCCCGCTCCCCCTAAAACCCAGCCGGGGAGGGAGCAATGGGAATGACTCTGCATCCGTCTGCCGCTGCACCAGCCACCCGCACGCACTTAATTCCCGGAGTCTTCCCCCTACGGCGCATGGATTTCAGCTGGCGCGGAGCGAGGCACAGCCCCTTTCCCAGCCACGCGGCATCCTCCACACGCAGGATCCCAGCTCCAGGATCGGCTGGGGTACAGTATGCCGCACAACGTCGGAGCGGGATGCTTCCCAGTGGAACTGCAGGGGAGACCTGGGCAGGAGACCCCCAGCAGGGAAAGCAGCACCCCGCTCTGAAGCCAGATAAACGAGGTGTATTTTTCCCAAAGCAAGTCCCAGTTATCCCGTTTAGGAGCCGCTGTCCGTTTCCCAGCCTGACCACAGGAACGTCTGCAACACGCAGAGCCTGGTCCGTACCCTGGAAAAGTTGCCGTGTGTCCCTCTCCGTTGGCTCTTTGGCAGGTTCACCCTGCAGCTCGTCACCGGGAACTGCCATGGAGCCACGGACTTTTCCCCAGCCTCTGCTCCAACAGTCGTGGATTAAGCCCCAGGACTTCGGCACAAAACCAGTAAACCCTTCAAAACCAGGGTGGCCTGGTCACTGCCGGGGTATCCGGCCTCCCTCTTGCCACCCGGAGTCCCAAAGGAAAAGCACAGCCACGTGCTTTCAGGGGAAAAATCGCTATTTGCGTCGCAGCAACTTCCAACTTGGAGTCGTGTTGGGCCTCCCGGGAACACGCCAGATGATGGTCCCCGTCTCAGAACAACACCTCCCTCTCCCAGCTCGGCTCTGCCGTCCCCGCGGAGCTGAAAAGCCCCGTGACCGTCTGTTTTGACAACCAGCCACCACTGCCAGGCGGGGAGATGTGGCTGTGTTGAGCCTTATCGGTGCGTTCCCAGAGAAATCCAAGCGCCAACCTCGGAGACACGGCGAGCTCTGCTCCCCTCCCACGCCGCTTATGCCGTAACTCGACTAGAATTGGGCTCCGTGTAACAATTACTGTTCCTCTGTAATTATCACTTTCTGATTTTTCTCGTTGTTAAGGGTTGCTGGGGACGGGGGAGAGGCTTTTCTGCTGTGTCAGAGAGCTAAAGATGTCTCGGATTCGGGAGGACGGGGATGTGCCGCTGGCTGCGGCGGTGGTTAACCAGGCACATCTCAAACACCTCCCCGGAGTCACTTGTGTCACAGCAGCAGTGAAATGCCGGGGGCTGTTCCTACCCCCAGCTCACCAGGCACCAGCTCCCTGTGCCGGGAGAGGCTAATTAAAGAGGTGAGCAGCTTCTTAAGAAGCCATTATTCTTGAAATGAGGCGGCAAGGGAAGCAGCAAGGGAGGATCCCTAATGAAATGGGGAAGAGGATTAGAGGGAGAACAAAAAGGGGGAAGGAACAGTCTAGGAAAAGGAGGAGGACCTGCTGATGGAAGAGGTGGCCAAGGCACGGAAGCCAAAACCACGATGTTCCTACTTTAACATCCGATTTTCTCCTCTACCCTGGGAGCCGGAAGGGCTCCGACACCCTCATTCCCAAAGGCTCCAAGTGAATCGTAGCTAAAACACACTCGATGTTCATCCCAGCCCACTGTGCATGTCCCAGGCAGGCTGGCTCTTGCTCCAGGGGCTAGATCACATCTTCAGCACGCTGAATCCTTCCCTGGAACACGCTCCAGACAAGCTGCTACCAAGCATAGCC